GCGCCGTCCTCGGTATCGCATCTTGATCTCTCCTCTGTCGGCTGCCTCTTCTGATCTCTGTCTCCCGTCTGCGCCTCCCGTCTTCTGGGTGCTGCTCTTGTATGTGTGTGCGTGTTTGTGGCTGGTGTGTGTGTGTGTGTGTGGTGTGTTCACGACGTGTGTGTGCGTCACACTGCCGGTGTGCGTGGACCGGTGCGTTGCGTGTGCGTGTTGGTCGTGTTGCGTGTTTTGCGTGTGCGTGTGCGTGTGGCGTGCGTGCGTGCGTGCGTTGCGTGGCGCGCGCGGTGTTGTGTGGTGTGTGTGTGTGTGCGTGTGTGTGTATGTGTGTGTGTGTGTGTGTGATGAGTCATGGGTGTGAGTGCCTATATATAGTGTAGTGTGAATGAGCAAAATGATGGGAGTTGGTTGATGTAGCGTAGTGAGGGTGAGAGAAGTGGTGAAAGCTTGTGTCTAAGGCATAGTGGAGATGATGGAGGTGATGAGAGTGGGTGTCTGTAGTGCAGTGAGGATGAGAGACGTGGCGAGAGCAGACCTGTGTCGATTGTGTAGCGAGGACGTGGAAAGTGATGAGAAAGTACGTCTATGATGTAGTCAGGATGAGGGACGTGATGGGAGAGGGTGTCAATAGTGTAGTTGGGATGAGGAAATGATGGAAGAGGGCGTCCATAGTACGGTGAGGACGGGGGGATAGATGGCAGTGGGTGTCAGCAATATAGTGGGGCTGGGGAAAGTGATGAGGTAGGATGTCTAGAAGGGATGCTTGTGAGGGTTATTTTACGCATTTTACGTTATTTTACGTTATTTCACGCATTCACTTTAGTGTTCGTCGTTAGGCGTGCACGAGACATGCGTTCTTAAAGGCGCATTACAGATGTAATTTACAACAAAAGCGAACTCGCCGAGCAACACCAAAGCGTTTATTACACTTCTGCTCAATGAGTAACGAGCAATTCCACGCAGTAGTAAAAACTAATAGCAGTAGAATAAGCTTACCGAATAATATATAGATTAATCATGTAATCTGTGATACGTGCGATCTGTGAACAGTGATCCTTGATAAAGTGATACGCTTTCGCCCCTACCAGGTTTGTAAGCAGTTGGATACTTTGGCCAGGCTGGGACCCTTAGATAATGATGACGTCACCGTGCTGAAGGATGCCCTGGGAGTGGCTCAGCATCACGATGCAGTCACGTGAGTATGACATATCTCGCAGCGCTATGATATTGTAGCTGCTAACCGGACATGTATAGGGGGCTATAGGGGGGAGAATGGTGAAGGCGAGACAGAGAGAGAGAGAGAGAGAGAGAGAGAGAGAGAGAGAGAGAGGGAGAATAAGGGAGAGAAAGAGGGAGATAATCATATTTCAAGAGGAGAATACCAAGATATATACGTGAACGTGTGACACAGTACGCGCCGATATCAAATGCATTAAGGTGAGTTATACGTAATCGTTCTAAGCGATAACGCTTAGATCGCGATCGTTCTAAGCTCTAACATAGTAGTTGTTAATGCGATAGGTAGGCGCACACGTATATATGCGTAATACTGCACGCCTCAAGATTAAAACAGTGGCAATTATGCCACCGCGAATAACTTTATGAGTTATCTTCAGTGCTTCAGTACTATTTTGAAATAATATATTATAAATAATCAAGCATTATATTGAATAATGTTATAATATCAGGGGGTTATGGCTTTTAGTATTATCCTGAGCACATAATAAAGGAGATTTTGTTATGCACATCTGGTGTTATGAAACGCTTATACGGTTGTCACGGCGTGAAAGCTACTACTACTGTATTAGTTTCAGGTGAAAACACAAGGATTCGTAAGAGAAGGGAAGGACTAATGCTAATATGCCACGCTTAAAACTGGGAGACTTTTGTGTAAATGATTGCTATGATTATGAGCTGTGTTTCGGTATAATCGGCAAGCATCATACATTAAAATTACTATGTTATTTTGGTACCGTGTGTACAAGCACGTATGTGTACGTTTGTGTGTATTGTGTATTTCTCATCATATCTCATTTGGTTTCGTTGCAATATAGGGGAACGGCTAAGCAGCATGTTACCAACGACTACGTACAGAGACTGTCTGTAGCAATGTCCGAATGCCAGGTATATTTGCTATAGGGTTGCATTATGCCGGCCATGATAGCAGTGAATTATTAGTCATGTTATTGAGTCCCATTAATTTCTTGTCGTTGGCCCGCTTTCACTGATTTACGCGAACTTGTCAATTAGGTGATATCAGTTTTCCCCGTTACGTAACGTTGATTTCGTATTTCATTGTTTAGTGTTGAGAATTATGAAACCATATATCAAATACATATATCCGCAATGATTTTACGCCATGAATATTTAAAGCGTGTAGAGAGAAAGCGAGCGATAGAGATAGATAGATAGATAGAGAGAGAGAGGGAGAGAGAGAGAGAGAGAGAGAGAGAGAGAGAGAAAGAGAGAGAGAGAGAGAGAGAGAGAGAGAGAGAGAGAGAGA